AAAAATATTCTTATAATTTTTCTTTTAACAAAAGATTGCATTGTCATCAGTTTCTAAGCTATCCTGGAAGTTTCAGCTTGCTAGCTATAGTCGGGAAGTGAGCAAAATTTAAGTTGCAAAATTTGATCCAGACAAACAAACGGACAAGAAAGCGAGTTAATAAAAACGTGTTAATTAAATTAAAAAGGAAATAAATTTTTTAATTAGGGGAATAAACCGGGAGTTGGAGTTTTTGCAATACCTCGGCTTCTCGTTGGTCTTCTTGTAGTTGTAGACAGAGATTGTGGATCTTTTGGACAATACAGAGGGCTTCTGCAAATTGCTGGCTGTTGCTGTTACTTGCGAATCTCAGCTGGAAAGGCCTCGTCGCACCGTTTGGCTTCAGCTTGAGGATTTTCATCAAAAAGCATCTTATTTTCAGGAAGTCATAGAAATAATAAATGTCATACAATTTTCCTAAACACTTGATTTACTCTTAAAGAAAATCTTCACCATTTTATCAGGAGGAGTCATTTTCCAGTTAGATATTTTTTTTCGGATGGAAAAATCACCAAAATTTCGGCTAAATTGTCGATACATTTTTTTTGGGTGCTTAATCTCCTGCTTCAGAAGTTTCGTCGCACTGTTTTGCTTCTGCTTGAGGATTTGGTCAAGAAACATTTTATTTTCAGGAGCTCATAGAAATGATAAAAATCGTGAAATTTACCTGAAGACGTCATCTACTCTTTAGAAAATTCGATGCCATTTTATAAGGAAGAGTTATTTTCGAGTAACATATTTTTTAGCCGAAAAAAATCACCACAATTCGGACTATGAATTTTAGATAAAATATTTCTGCTAAATCTCCGGCTTCAGAAGTTTCGTCGCACGGTTTGGCTCCAGCTTGAGGATTTTTTATGAAAAGCATTTTATTTTCAGGACGTCATAGAAATGATAAAAATCATGCCATTTTCCTAAAGATTTAATGTAATCTTAAATAAAATCAATGCATCTTTATAAGGAGAATTAATTTTCGAGTTCGATCTTTTTTTAGATGAAAAAAAATCACCAAAAATCGGACTAAATTGTAAATAAAAATATTTTTGCTGAATTTTAGGCTTTATCAGATTCGTCGCACCGTTTTGATTCTGCTTGAGGATTTCATCGAAAAGCATTTTCTTTTCAGGATGTCGTAGAAATAATAAAAATCATGCAATTTTCCTGAAGACTTCATCTTCTCTTGCAGAAAATGCATACCTCTTTATAATGAGGAGTAATTTCCGAGTTATATTTTTTTAGATGAAAAAAATCACCACAATTCGGGCTAAATTTTGAATAAAAATAGTTATGCTAAATCCTTGGCTTCAGGAGATTCGTTGCACAGATTTGATTCTGCTCGAGAATTTAATCGAGAAGCATTTTATTTTTACGAGGTCGTAGAAATTATAAAAATCATGCAATTTTCCTAGAGATTCAATGTACTCTGAAAGAAAATCAATACATCTGTGTAAGGAGCAGTACTTTTCTAGTTAAATTTTTTTAGATGAAACAAATTATTAAAAATCGGACTAAATTTCAACTGAAAATATTTTTGCTGAGTCATCGGCGTTGTCAATTTCGCCGCACCGTTTTGATTCTGCTCGAGGATTTCATCGAAAAGCATTTTATTTTCAATAGGTCGTAGAAATGATAAAAATCGTGGAATTTTTCTGAAGACTTCTTCTACTTTAAAAAATCCATATATCTTCATGAGGAGTTATTCTCAAGTTAGATCTTACCATCATGATCTATACTTTCCAATAAAATCGATCAATAAATCCCTTCTCACCAGTTTTTCGATGAAATTTCCAGATTCCAAGCACAATGCCGACAACACAGCTGCTCTTTCTCGTGTGAAAAATACTGCTTCCGAAAACCTTTCCTCCTTCTTTGGTGGGATTTTGAAATCATTGTCCTCCTAATCAACAAATTATAATTTTTTTTCTTGAATAAAGCGGCCAATTTGTTTGCTTTTCGTGTGCGGAATTTTTTGTTGAGAACAATTAAAAATGACAAAATACTTTTAAAATTAAACAATAATTGGCGCGTCTCGGGACGCGCCAGCAGCTGTTCAAAAAGGGCCCTTCCACAGGGCTTCAAAACAAAATTGTTGCAACTCGACAAACCGTCGAGAATATCAAAACACAAACCCATCTCTGGGGAAACGACTTCAACTGAGAGTCGAATGACCCCTCATTCCCCGCCT